GTTCGTAAATTCAGCCGGGCCATCCTCGTCCCCCATAAATAACTCGCCGCCACGACCTGACCCCGCCGCTGCTGCTCTACGGTCGCGCGCGCTTGTCCCGCCATTTTATGAATGTCCCCTACCTATTCTCGAGCCTTCCCATCCTATCTCAACGTTGGATCAAACTTGAAATCGCCCTTAACCACGACAACAATTCCGGATGATCGATCCCCGAAAAAGGCGACTTCGAGAAAGAGACACTTCTTACAAATAATCCTGGCAAAATCCTCCAAATATTTCGAAATGAAATTTCATCCGTTCCAACCTCGTCGAGGAAGGGAAGGTTTTAGTTTACGGGAATAGAATCCAGTTTCTAGAGAGATAAATTAGGTTCGAATAATCGGACGAATATTTCGTAATTGAAGATGGACAGGAAGGGGTTGGTCGGTTGCCAAACGTGGAAGGGAAAGAGAGTTGGAGAGTTGAAGAGTTTTTTTCCCTCAAGTGTCGTCATTTCCTCCCTTCTGGAAATGATTATTCCATTCCAATATTCCAAAAGATTTTTGGAAAAGAAGGGATTATTTTCGAAGGAGCAAGAGGATTGAAATTACTACAAGGAAACGTTCCCCCTTTGGAAAGAAGAAGACTATTCCTGGCGGATATCCGGCGTTGCGTCTAATGTACAATGCGACTAAATTTTTAAAATTATCCGAGTCAGTCCCTGCGACTAAACGATCACCACGTTCAATTTCGTCCACCATTTTCTCAATTTTCTTTCGCTGATAAACGCGAACGCGGCGACCTCTTCGAGGAAGAGAAAGAAATTTTCGCGCCAGTCCACGAAAAATACATTTTTCTCCTCCAGAACTCGTTTACCTTGCGCGTTACCGCGAGTGGGAAAATCCGACGCTATTGTTGGATCCCTTCAACGCCGTTTTCCCCGGCTATAATTAGTCCCCGGCGGGATGACGTCTCGCCCGAGACGACTTCGATTCCCGAAGAGATTCGATCGAGGCCGGCCACGACCCGGAACAAATCAATACGCCGACACGGCGACACCGATTGGCCGCGTCTGATGCTCGCGCAACGCGCGCCTCCAAAGATCTCCGACCCGAGATCGTTTCCCTCCCTCTGCTTCGATTCCTCCTCCAGTCGTCGCGATCGAATGCTCGATCTCTACCTGCCGTTCTCCTTCTTACGAATATTGCAGGAATTGTAATATATAAGATATAATATCCTGTACAATTACAGGAATCGAATAGGAGCTCGTAATGATCGATATTGTTTTTGTAAGAGTTTTCGACGAGGGTTGTTTCCTCCTCTTGGATTGGAATTGACAATTTTTCGTCGGGGGAGGAAAGATTTCTTTTTCTCGGCCGTGAGAGACGTAGAGGAACGATTCATAGGGGGGAAGGGAGAACAAAGAGTTCTTCAATGCGTTAAAAAAAAAAATAAACTGTCTTTATTAGAAAGGGCGATATACATCTCGATCCGAGCTTTCGTAGTTTCGTTTTTGGACAGTGAAAACAATAAATAAAAATGTGAAATAAATATATTTAATTAACGCGTAATTGCGCGTATCTGTTCAT